TAATGATGTGTGACTTGGGTGCAAGTGTCATTACATTTGTTTCTGCTTATGTAGCTATCAATGATCTGGAGTATTTTCCTAAATATTCTTAAAATGCTCTTGGCTTTTAAAAATTCATAATTGACCTTTTCTGAAACTGGAATTTAAAAAAAGGTTATCTATAAACAGTAGATCACAAACTGCAAAATTTGCAAGTTAATCAAATTAAAATTCAACACATGAGTTTTAATTAGGTCTTATCAATGTAACTCAGCAGTTTGAAATGTTAACACATTGAAGCCTTTGTAATGTGAAAAAAAATATACAGGCTGGCCACATTAAAATCAAATTCAATACAAAATATATAACATGCAATTGTTCATTTCCTCAAACTAAGGGAACATGAGAGAAATTATTTTCATAGCCAAGGGGAAAGGAGACAAATCAGCTTTTCTGTTTGTGTGATGTGATCACCGGGGCAGTCTGAGAGTTTCTGCTGCTTCCATCCATTCCAACCTTGTTCTCCAGATTGTTGATCTGGCTGAGCTGGGGCTCAAATTGGGGGCATCAGAGATTCAAATCCACATGCACTGCTACCCTTCACCCCAGGTTCCCAGGCTTTCCTCTGAATAGTCAACCATCTGTTTTGATTAATGTAATAAACTCTATCTGTTAAAATGAAAGAAGAAATCACTGATACAAGCCAGCAAACATTCAAATAGATCTAAATCTCCAGTCGAACCTAAATCTCCAGGGGCATTTGATACAGTTATTTTTCCAATCTCTGGGAGAAAAATAACTTTTGAAGTGTATGGGTCCCAAACTGGCTAGGCTTCCCTACTTAAACACAGAGTAAAGACTCCAATATTAAGCCTTCAAGTACAAGAATTTTTTATTAAAAAATGATTAAAGGGGCTAAAACCACAATGAGCCCACTTTTACTCACTTAGTTTTAAAGCATGAAAACAAATATAAGTAGTTAAAAAGTGGGTCATTTGACTGGAATTAGTGTCAGGCTAGAAAATGAAGTGAATCAGAAAATTGAGGTAACTTTCCCACTAATTCAAATAAAAACCCCCATGATTGCCTGAATTATCCAACTTTTTTAGGCAAAATTACTTGCCAGCCTTCTAATGAATGACTATCTCAAGCTAGAAGCGTCATCATCATCACCAGCTTAATAATCTCAGCACAGTTATATGACACATCCTGTGTGGTTCCTTATATAATGTGGTTCTCCTAATGGTATTTGGAGGCAGAAAGCTGTGCATCATCCCTCTATATGCAAAGAGCTGAGGCATAGAGAGGTTAAGAGAGTGACCTCAAAATTGCACAAATTTACCAAGCACATATTTTTAAATCAGATCTATATGACTCCAGATAATACATTCTGTTGCCAAGGTTAAGTGTCCCAAAGTGTCACTGACCAGTTTTAACTACATCCGTCTGTGAAGAAAAGGTTTATGTCACATATAAGCTGGGCTCAGTGGCACACACCTATAATCCCAGCCGCTTGGGAGGATCGTGAGTTCAAAAGCCAGCCTAATCAACGGGAGGTGTTAAGCAACTCAGTGAGAACCTGTGTCTAAATAAAATACAAAATAGGGCTGGGTATGTGACTCAGTGGACAAGTACCCCTGAGTTCAGTCCCTGGTACCCACTCTCCCCCCGAAAAAGATGGCACATCTAGGATCAGAGGGCAAGATAACCTTCATGAATTATCAGATTGCTGTCATCATTACCTATTCCCATTTCTTCTCTTGCACCCCCTTAAAATGTAGATATTTCAGACACCATGTAACCCAGCTATCCCATTCCTTGGTATTTATAGAAAAAAAACTAAAATCAGCCCACTACAGTGATATATGCATAACAATGTTTGTAGCAGCACAATTCAAATTAGCCAAGTTATGGAACTTGTCTAGGTGCCAGTCAACTGAAAAATAAATGAAGAAAATGTGGTATATATACACAATGGAGTTTTACTCAACCATAAAGAAGAATGAAATTATGTCATTTGCTGGTAAATAGATGGAACTGGAAAACATTAGCTAAGTGAAATAAGCCAGACTCAGAAAGTCAAGGGGCAAATGTTTTCTCTCAAACGTGGAAAATGGAGAGAAATGGGGGGAAAAGAAATAAAAAGGGGGATCTCATGAAAATAGAAGGGAGACCAATAAAGTAGAGAAAGGGGATTGAGAGGAGGGTGAAGAACCAAGGGCATGGAGAAGGACTAGGGAACAAAATCAATCAAATTTTGCTACAACCATGTACGACTATAGCACAGTGAATACAGCTTTTATATATAATTATCATGCATTAATTAAAATAATGATAATAATAATAATGGAAGGGGGGCACATATAGTAGAACAAGTAGATCAGGGAAGGGAGGAGGGAAGGGAAAGGTGAGGCACAGGGGAATGAATTGATCAAAATAAGTTACGTGCATGAACAAATAAGGCATAAGGATTCCCACTATCATGTAGAATTATGCACCAATAAGAGAAATGATTTTTTAAAAATGTAGATGAACAATAGACAAGGACATACAAGGGAAATAAGAAATACTCTAATTCCAGAATTTGACAGCAATGTTGAAGGAGGGTATAAAAAAATGTATTTCCCACTTTAACCTCCTTTTAGATTAATTTATCATTTACAAAAAGGAAGAATTTCTCTGAATGAGAACACAAAATAGGACCATTAACATGGAGGAATGGCTGCTGAGAAGAGCTAATGCCTCTTTTCAAAGACAAAGTTTGCCTCCTTCACAATTTTGAACAGCTTATCACACTTTGCTGGTCAAAAGTTCGACCATCTATCATCTCAGCAATTCAATGCACCCTCTTATTTCCAACTTAAGAGCCATAATTCTACTTCTCCGATTTGTCATCATATAATTACAGGCTAAAGTAGGCTGACTCAATAAGTAATGCTGTCTGCTGCAAGTTAATCACATAGACCACGTGACAGATCTCAAAGACAAATTTGCAAGTACTACATTATACAAGTACTTTGTTCTTACTATCTTGGGCCATGTTCATAATTCATGCTGCAAAAACTTTCAAAAAAAGAGGATGGTGTGAAAAATGATAAAGACAGGGGGCATCTAAATTTTGTTCCCATCCATGATCATTGACTATGTCTAATGTAAATAGTATGCATGAAAGAGAGGTATACTGAAACTCTTTTCTTCCTTGTAAAAAGTGAATTAATCTTTCCATTTTGAACAGATGGTGATTTAAAAACATACATAAGAAATGTGCACTATATCTTGATCTTTGAGAAAACTTATTTGTGGAACCAGGCAAGTGTCCATACCAACTTGCAATCAGTCAATGAAATTAACTTTGAATTGATTAATGTTTGGATGAATTACTCAAGCTCCCCTTTTGTCATTGAGATAAAAATGCTGTTTTTACTTAATTTTGAAGAAGAGTTTCTTTGATTGATTAATTAGCTTGATGTTGTGCCAACATAGCCTCAAAAGATTCCTACTTAATGACCTTCCCAATTTTTAACATTCTAGAGAAGACTGAATAGTCTGCAAGGAATTTTCAAAGTAGGAGGCTCTGGGCCCATTTATGAACCTTCTATTGCTGCCATCCCATGTGATCAGAGGTATTTCTTTTATGAAGATTAATAAGTATCAGAGTGTCTTTTACTGAGCACTTACTACATGGCAAATATTGTGCCTATTTATTTCATACTCAAAGAAATCCTATCACATAAGTCTTTTAATCACATTTTATAGAGGATGGGTCTCAAACTCCATGAATTCAAGCAATGTGTAACTCTGAGCATGGTCCTAATTGTATGTTTTATAATCCAAGTTCAAATCTATTAAAATTACTGTGTCTTTGATGTTCTGACTTTTATATTCACATTTGTCCTATCAATATGTGTCCATATTTTCTGGGCCATTTGATGGCTGGGTGAGACTATCAGATCATAAAGCACATATATGAAATGTAGTGTTAGGTACAAAGTCTTTCTTGATTCAGCATCTCCTTTGAGTCCTCTTCATTTTAATCTCTGATTGGTTGTTTCCTATTTTGCTTATTAGACAATTCCCAAAGTAGAATGAGCTTTCTAGGGTCTCCAAATCTCTTACCATCTCTTTCTCAATCTCATGCTTCCTCTTCAATAAGTAAAACTTAACACAGATAATTAGAGTATCTAATTCTCAGTTATACTATAATTTGTTTATTTTTACTCAATGGAAACTGAGACCTTAAAGAGAGGGAACTATCACTCTTTTACACAATGCCTAGGGATTTTATCACTCATTACCTGCCTAGATTACTTATTTCTACTCTGCAAAAGATACAGGTAATCTGACTGATCCAACTCTAGGATCCTCTTTGGACCTTCGCGATGGTAGACCATAACCTGGAGCACTCAAATGTCTGTTGCTTCCTGCTCTATGCCTTACATTGGCATGTTTCTACTAAGTCTGTGGAATTTCTTTTTCTATCACGTGGCAAAGGATCTACCCTGGCAATAGGTAGGTATTAAAAATTAAATTTCTTTCTCTACTTGATGGCCTTAAACCAATGTGGTCTTGAATAACATAGAACTTCAGCCACAATATTAAGCAATGTCCTGGCCAATAACAGAGTGGTACCTGATTGACCTGCTGCCACTACTACTTGTGTTTTTAGTAAACCTGGCAATATCACTCAGGAAAATGGTGACTGTGCAAGACAAAATATGAGCATTACAGTGTCCCCTGTCTTGTAACTATCTAATTATGGCCCTCATCCCCAGTTAAATCCACTATACACATTAGAATTTGCTTTGCTACAAGAGAAAGAGGAGGGTGAGAATGAATCAAGAGCCATGGGGGTTGTTTTCACTGTATTGAATGTGAATTGCTAACAGACCACCCTAGACAAGAACACAGATTTCTGGGCTGGGAATCTCTTGGGTCACAATTCCTGAAATTTAGAAATATCCTCAAACCATTTTGGTGAACACAGTCCTGTGCTGTGTTCAAAGTCCTGAATGTCCACTCACCCGTGCACTCTGCCCTGCAATGAGCTGGTCATCCTCTGTCTGAACGCTTGTCCGGCTACGCACGTCGTAATCTTCCTGCTCGAAGTCAGAATCATCTTCTAGTTCTTCTGGGGTCTAAATATTAAGAAGAAAAAAATGTTACAAAAATTTGAATTTAAAATCTATAAACTTCACCCACATCCACACACTTTTTCATTGCAAAAGCTAAACTAGCCTCCAGGAAGCAGCTTACAGCTTCTTACATATAGTACAGCCCTGTGGGTGGCTATCAGCTGGAACAGAGTCAGAAAAAAATCATGCTGCCCTAATTTACTTGCTTTAAAAAGTTTATTTTCTTTATTATTTCCTCCTGCAGGTGTAGCAAGTCTAAGTTTGACTCTTCACATGACGTGATTTCTAATTTTGAGAAGAGTTTTATTTTTGTATTAATTCTACCCATCCAAATCTATGATAAGATAGAAAATGAGAACCAATAGAAAAAGTTACGACTATACTTCTTCTACAATGCCCTATTTGGTCCATCCCATCTCTTCAGCTCTCAATGGGCAAAAGGATCAACCATCTCCAGGCTAATGGCTTGACCTGGTGAAACATCTGGATTGCTCACTAAGCCATCAGAAGCAGAGGTTCAAGTATAGTCTTCAGTCAGTGCCGGAGTCTGGCTGGGCACAAAATCACAAGCCACTCAGGACAATGTTGCCTGAGCAAACTCTCACATCTCTCAGCTCCCTCCTCTGTAAATGCATGTTAATAGTAGCCACCTCTATGACTGTTGTGAAGATAAATGATGTATTCTCTATAGAGTATCTGGCATATAGTAGACATTTTTTAAAAAAAAAAAAATCCTTGCTATCATTATTACTTAGGAATTCAAAATAAATTCATTCAACAAATATTTTTAAAGTGAAGCTAGCACTTTCTACACATTCACTAAGGATTAAAAAACTCACATATATGTCAATTTCAATCAGATCAGCACAATGTAATAGGGATCATTCTGTATTTAGAGATGAGAAGAACAATGTTTGAAGTAGTTTCAGCAATGGGTCCCATGTCCCTAAAGTAGTTAACAGAACCAGCATTTAGCTCTAAATAGCCAAGTGTGTCTAACTTCAAACACACTCTTCTTTATTAATTTTTGTAATTGTTGTTTTTACACACTACAACTTAGGCAAGAACTGGAGCTATAAAATGGTATGAAAGGACAAGAGATCCTTTCCAATCCCATAGTCTGTGTTGAGGAGAAAGATATGGAAGAATCCACAAGCCAAGCCAAAAAAAACAAACAAAAACAAAAACAAAAAATCCTCCCCATCTTTAATGGCAGTAATACTAGATACATTGCATTAAATGGTACCATATGACTGTCACTATTTTCTCTAAGTGCTTTATTCACACTAACTCATGAAGTTTCCTGAACACTCCTATGAAGTAGACATGGTTTTCTCCATTTTATAGGCAGGTAAACTGAGGCATAAGAGGTTATAACGTGTACAAAGACTTCTAAATGAGTGGATTTGAGGCATCCACCCTAATGCTCTGTTGACTCTATGAGGAAAAGCTCAGGACATGATAAAGATGGAGCACAAAAAGAGAGGACACCAGTGTGAGGTTCTTAAATCCGCTGTCACCCATGAACTTCCACTTGACTGGAGCAGGGCCACCTTCCAGGGCTCTGTCCTTGAAAAGAACAGAACAGACCACAAGCTGTACTGATGATGCAGCTGCCCATTCCTCATCCAAAGGGCCACATTTTTTTTATTCTGTTGATTTCTTTGGCTACCTCAGTGTAATTAATCAGATGTGGTTATTGATGAAGCCTCGAGATTGGTCAGACAGGCGTAAAATGGGGTCCTTTGTGCCAATATCACATTATGCCCAGAAATTTTTCCATGTTTTGGCATTATCACTTTTATTTTTCCTTTTATCTATCAACCTTATTAACATTCAGTCAGTCATCTACACGTGTTCCATTTTCTTTTATAGGAATATTAAGAGAATGGGAGGAGAAAGAGGTTCTGTTCTATTCTATTAATATTCCATTAATACAATCAGGGGTGGGGTAAGCAGAACCTCATTCAAATAACTGGTTGTATTTTCATTGTGGACCGAGAGTATCCTGGGATCATTCCTCACTCTTCTGGAATTGTACTGTGAAACAATTACAGCAAGTTGGTAAATTCTGCTGACAGATGACATGACAAGATTACAAGCACTTTTCATCATTAGTTCTTAAAAGGAGGAGAAAAGTAAAAAAGAAAACCTCAATAAAAAAAAAAAACCCTGCAGAATGTGACAGTGCTGAAAATGTGATAGTACTGAGTCAAAACATTTCAGTGAGCTGTACATTTTACGAGACAAGTCAATGACAAACACAACCTGGCAGTATAAGGCTAATAATGATAAGCTCTGATTCAAGTGACCACAGCCCAAGAACCAAAATAAAGAAAAATTCTTAAATGAAAAAAATAATAACCTGGATGTGGACCCAGGGGACCTGAGTGATTTGGGCCTAACTTTGCCACTCATAAGCTGTAAGTCTTTGCCAAGTCACTTAGTTTTGCTGCTTCTGAGTCTTACATAAAATGGAGATTACAATTGTTATTGCTTTGCCTACCCCACGGGACTCCTAAACTCAGATGTATATGAAAATGCTTTCCAAACTATAAAACTAAACTAAATTTACAAATGATGGTGATCATTAGTATGCTTAATAAAACAACACATAATAACCACAGCAATAATAATAGTAGCAATTGTTTACCACCCACTATAGGACAGATTTTCAGCTACAGGTTTTAATCCTTACAATGATTTAATGAATAAATTTAAACCCTTTTTGTTCTTGGTGGTGGTGGTAATGGTGTGTGTGTGTGTGTGTATGTGTGTATGTGTGTGTGTGTGTGTGTGTATGATTTGTGTGTTTGGTGCTAGGAATGGAGCCCAGAGCCTTACACATGCTAGGCAAATGTTCTATCAATGAGGTATATCCTCATCCCTTTTTAAAAATTTTATTTTGAGACAGGGCCTTAGTAAATTGCCCTGTCTGGCCTTGAATTTATAATCCTCCTGCCTCAGACTCCCAAGTAGCTGGGACTACATCCAGCTTAATCCCCATTTGCCAGATGAATGAACAGGCTCAGGGTCTTTAAGCAAAATTTCCAAGGTGTCACACATCAAGAGGCAGAAATGAGGAACAAGCTGAGGGTTCCAGAGCCTATGCTCTTAACCATCACAAATACCATCAGGTAAACAGAAGAGTTTAAAATATTTTCATGTGTCTTAAACATGCAGCAAATCCATCCAGGTCATTCATACAAATGGTTCGGTGCTCATGTCGCTTGTGAACTAAGTACTAATGTGTGTCCTAGTCATGCCTTTGTTTTTCAAATTGTTGGATTTTAAAAGTATAAGTGTAATTTTTCAGTTGGTCAAGTACTTCCATAAATTAAAGGAGACAGTAAATTAGAAAGGGGGCCTCAAAGAGATCACACTTATAGTATTAAACAGACTGATAAAGTAAAAAAGTCAACAAAAGGTATAGCACACAGGAATAGAGGCTAGAGACTAAGGGCCAAGGTCAGTTCTACACTCGGGTACTCCCAGGGGAGCCTTTCACAGAAAACAAATATGACTTGGAGGTCTACTCCTGGTTCCCTGGTTCTACTACCATCTAACTGTTCAGCTGTGAAAGTGGGTCTCATCTGTAAAGTAGCACAAAGCATTCAGCCTCCAAATTATCTCCTGTCTAAATCAATAAGATTAACTTGTGCCCATTACCGAGGCCCAAGGAGATGATGGGATTTAATCACATCATCAGTTCACTGCCTCTGGTGCTCCATCTCTATAACACCTCTATTCAGAAGCAAAACAAGAGCATGCTGAAAGATTCAGAATCCTTTCACCTGAACATGTGAGTAAAATGTAATAAGGATCATTGAAGAAAAGCTCACATGTATATGAGAGTTTCATTGAAAGAAATATACAAAATATAGTTGGCAGGTGATTTGAGGTGATACAAAAGATTTTCCAACAGAGCTCTACACCACTAAAATGGGAGGCGAACGAAAAACTAAAATTAGAGATCTAAAGCAAATATGTGAAACTTTCCTCAGTCAATTGGCCAACAGCATCTGGAACTTAGATTACTCTGGAAACCTCCTAACCGCTCTCCCTACTTTGACCCTAACCAGAGTAGCCAGAGTGCTCCTTTTAAGAACTGAACTACATCATGTTATTTACCACTCAGAGACTCCGATGGCACCCGTCTCATTCAGTGTAGTCCTCAGGCCGCCAGAGCTTCCAACTCCAGACTTTGCACTTGCTGTTCTGTTCCCTCTTTCTGAAATATGCACCCTCCAACTACCTTGTGTCTCCTTCCCTTCTCCTCCAGGTCTCTTCTCAAAATGTCAATCATTTACCATCCTCCATAAAATCCATGCCTACCCATGTTCTGTCTCCTTTATACCATCCTGGTTTTCACTGTGGCACAATATTTGGCATTAAGTATGTTTTTTTTTTTTTTTTTAAATTCGCTGTCTCCTACCAAAGGAATCTAAATTTCTAAATTCCATGAAGATTGGGATTTTTGTCTACTTTGTTTGCCTCTGTATATAGGGCAGCTCTAACAGCATGGGACATCCTGTAAGCATTCGACAAAAACTTCATAAATGAATGATCAGACTGAATTACCACTTTAAAGAAACATCATATTAAATTAGTTCTAATTAATTAAGAAAACAAAACTAGGAACTTATGAGAGCATGTTGATTAGCTAGGTTATAACCATTTTACACTAAGTAAAATTTTTTCACATACGTGAAAGTTTCTAAAATCTTTTCAACCTTTTATTTTCAACTTATGAGAAACACCCTGGCTCCAATTTTGATAATATTGTGGACTTACTGAACAAATTCTATTTAGTTGGATCATTATATAAGCTTCCTCCTTGAAGGATGAGGAAAAGACTTGATTCTTGGGAACCTACTAAGTGTTATATCTGTGATAGTTCTTTATTAGCTCAGTATATTTGTGTCCATTGGCAGCTAAGGAAACTAAACTACAGAGAAGGCAATTAGTATGCTGATGACCCAAAATTAGTTAAGCCATAAATTTCAAACTTTACTGTTTCATGGCATCCTCATGGTCTCAGTAATGTTTTTATAGTGCGTTAACTCTAAAAATAAATAAAAAATAAAAATCCTGAATAGTTCTTTTAATTAAGCAGTTTAGTACAAGCAATTTACCCATCTTTGTAACCTAACAACTAACGCTGCATAATTTTCAAACCAGAGAAATCAAATGGACAGCAACTGACTCTTGGGATTGATTTTAAACACAGTGGTCACCATATACTCAGTTTCACAAACATACCACATCATAAAAAGCAATGTGCCATCTAATGCCTGAACCATAAACTACTTCCAGCCAACATTTTGCACAGATTCTAAGAGGCATCTGTATATTATATTCAACTCTAAAATGTCTTGCAGCACTCCAGGGGACATTGATTGGCACACAGTTTGGGAGATGTAAAATTGAACTACAGTCTTTTTCTCAGAACACTATCCCAGGCCCTATCATTTCTTTGGCCTACCTTTGAAAATATCATATATAACTAAATTAATGGGTTCCAATGATAAAAGTGTAGTGAAGAGACACCATTGTAGACTTTCCTGGGTCATTGTCGTGAGGAGCAAATCCTATTTTGTAGAATACAGGTTTTCTGATACTAGGACATTCCCACCTTCTACCCCACCTACTCACCTTAGTTTCCAAAATTAAATGTTTAACTCTGTCTTTTAAATATATATGTGGTCCTCATTACTTGAAGATTCGCTATTGGTGGATTTGCCTCCTCACTACAATTAATTTGTAATACACAAAATTAATGTTCATGGTGCTTTCGTAGTTATTCCCAGACATGCGAGAGAAAGTGAAAAAATAAAAATAAAAAAATAACTCACCTAATGTGTATGTTCCCAGCTAAAGCCAAACAACATAGTGCTCTGCCTTCTTAGCTAAGCTCCCTTGCTGTGACTAAGTATTGCTTTCATGATCTATTTAGGGCCACACTTTTTGTGCTTTTGACTTCTATGTGACAAATGGTCCCTAAAAGTAATGCTGAGTTATTGTCTAGTGTCCCCATGTGTAAGGGGACTGTGATGTGCGTCACAGAGAAACCCCCTGTGTCATTCAAATATGAGTTAGTGCAGGGCCTTGTGGCACATGCCTGTAATCTTAGCAACTTGGGAGGTTCAGGCAGAAATACTGCAAGTTTAAAGCCATTCTCAGCTATTTAGCACGACTCTATCTCAAAATAAAAAATAAAAAAGAACTGGGGATCTAGCTCAGGAGTAAAGTACCCCTGGGTTCAATGCCCAGTACCAAAAAAAAGAGAGAGAGAGAGAGAGAGAGAGAGAGAGAGAGAGAGTCAGTGATAGTGACCCTGATTTAATATTTATGCATCAACAATATATAAAGAAGTTGTCTTTAAACCAAAGTACACATGAAACAAGGCCATGTGTTGGTCAGGTGGTGAAAATGTGACCAGAGGCTCACGGGAACCTAACTCTGTATTTCCCCTAGGAGCAATAGTTTAGTATTCGTTAATTCAGTGTTTGGTGAATTTATAGAACTTAACTCCTGCAGATGATGAGAACTGACAGTATATTGGTCTGCCAGAATTGCCTACTCATTTTTCCACTACCTTATGAGGATCATCAGAAAATTCCCATGCATCTGACAGATCACAGAAGGTAAATCTCATCAAGGCACAAACAAAAAAATAGAATCAAGAGGTGGAAGAGTAGACCTGCTCCAGGAGAGATGTAGGGTCCTGAAAGGTGAGGCTGAACACGGGAAGGGCAAGCACTGCCTACTGTCGAGAGTTGCCTGGAGCTGGCTTGGAGCACTCAGATACCGACATCACCATTAAATATGTATTGATTGCTGAGAGGCAAGGTGATGGGGAGTTTGACCCTTCAAGGTCCTTTCTGCATCTGCCTTTGTTTTTTCAAAAAGATTTCTTTCTTTTTAAAAGTATAATCAAGACTTGGGGAAGGGGCACAGTCAGGTTTGCTGAGCAAGAAAGAGTTCCTACTCATCTCACTGTGTTTCTCTTCTAACTTTATACATTGGGATTTTTTTTTAAGTACTGTACACTTAATAATTATATTCAAAGAAGAAACCAAGAAATTATTTAAGTACAAAATGAAACCATTCAAGTGTTGAATGGATAGCAATTTTTTAAAATAACAATTTGTACATACTGTATATTTCTCTCTTCCTAAATTTTAAGTGGTGTGAAATCCTTCTGATCAACTCACTTGAAATGTTGAGATGGAGGAATAACACTTCATGTGACAACGATATGGCATTTTATCTAAAATTGTGTTTTTTTACAGCTCATGAATGAATAAATGAATGATGTCTATAAATTTCTCAGCTTCTCAGATAAATGGTTGTCACAAAAATCTGAAGGCTAACAAAGCAGAAAAATGGCAAAAGAGGGAATATGTCTTGAGGATTGTAGTGGGGTTTAGTGCCGAATGCTTTCAAAGCATAACTCTCATGGTCTATTACCTTATTTCACAAGTTAGTAGGTAATGGGGAAAATGATCTAATTTGTTAGGGGCTTAAAAGGCTCCAATTCTTACATCTTTTTTTTCTCTGACACCTTCCTATCTTCCAAGACATCTCTCCCCACTTGAAAACACACACACACACACACACACACACACACAGTATTAGGCCCTATGCCAAACAAAGCACCATAATGAAAAGAAAGAGAGAGAGAGGAAAAAAAAAAGACAGCTGTTCCTTTCCCAAATTTCACAGTCTAGAGAAAGTAATAGACATAAAAGGAAATGGTATAATAAATACTATCACAGGCAGAAATAGGTATAGGTCGTTAAAAGATAGGGTAATTATTGTGAAGGGTAAAATGTGGAGAGAGGACATTCAAACCAGGCCTTGAAAGATGATAAGAGCTTCACAGGCATAAGAAGGGCAAGTGAAAAGCACAGGTCCCCAAATTCCAAATTTGAATTCCATGTGTTTTAGTATAATTAATACTGCCTGATACAGTTTATCTACTGGGAGCTTTGGGGATGGATCTGAAATTCTTATGAAAGAGACTTCTATTTAATATGAAAGCAGGTATACTGATCTAAAGGTGAGAGGAGAAGATGGTATTTGGACTCTGAAGTGGCAGAGCTGGTGATGCTTCAGCAGGAGCATGGAGGTCAATAAAGGTCTAATTCTAGATCTTTCTAGCCTGCTCTACTCCAGGCTGCTGGGATTGCTTCAGAAATGCTATAGTCCAAGGGAACTGTGCCTAATGAGTTCAAGGATATCAGGGATTGGAGAAGAATCAGCACCATCTATGAAATCCTCAAAGAACTTGGATTATGTTGCCCAGAGGGGACGATATTTCATAGATTGTTCTCGAAATACCTGAGGGACTACATGCAATGACCTAGGTGGCTGCTGCAGTACAAGTAGGGTTTTTTGTTTGGTTTTGAAAAGGGGGTGTTGACTTAGATGCTGAATAATTCCTAAGTGTGCTAGACAGATAGCTGGTGGTTTCAGTGATCAGTGACAGAGACAACAGGAGGTTGAGGGTGAGGACAGAGTCAAGGACTGCCTCATGCAGTGTCAGACACTACCTACGTGGAGCTAGAGAGTGCTTTAAATGTGACCAAGGCAACATGTTGAAATACTGGGCTAAATAAAATATGTGATTAAAGTTATAATTAGTGACACTTGTTACTCTTTTCTAAATGTGTATACTAGGAAATTTTCAATTAAAAAATGTGGGTCCCAGGGGCTGTGGATGTGGCTCAGTGGTAGCGTACTTGCCTAGCATGTGTGAGACACTGGGTTCAATTCTCAGCACCACATATAAATAAGAAATAAATAAAGGTCTATCAACAACTAAAAACTTAAAATTAAAAAAAAAAATGTGGGTCCTGTGTGTTTCGGTCAGATATCATGCTCTTGGAGTTAGGACAGCAGAAGTCCCCTTCCCATGTAAATGATAATAGTTATAAAAGTATCTGTCATTGAAGCTTCTGCATATGTACTTTGAAGAAAGGGTCCTATGGCTAATAAAATTTTTTGTTTGATTATTCTAAATCTAAGGTAAGGTAAGGAGAAAAAATAAGGAAGGGAAAAAAATAAGGTAAGGAGGAAAAATCTTTCAATGCAATATTATGCAGAAGTTAAATGGAATGAGGTAAACTGTCTTAGATTAAGGCATATTTTAGGTAAACAAAGCAAACTTTGTTAAGAGCTTAAATGTCAATTATTTTATATATATATTATATATATGTTATAATATATATTTTATATATTTTTTCTAGTTCTATGTCTATACATATTTACTTCAGTTGTGATTTGGAAGACACACCTGACAATTCAAGTTTTCGGTGGGCAGTTAGTTGTGTGCTGGTGGAGAATTGATGTGAAGCAATTTATAATGCTTGCATTATTTTTTTTATAAGGAGAATGTAGTTATCTATGAGAATAATGCTACTATACTAACACTAATACGCTGAGTAATCTTTACTTCTTTATAGTCCATGAGCCTTGTAGGAAGAGAGTGTTAGTAAGGGGCAATTGAAAAGTACCTGGGTTACTCCTCAGTTGGAATTAAATTTAGGAAATGCATGCAAGAAGCAGGAAGGGCATAAGGCTGCAGGATATTCAGTGCCTATCTGGGCTTGCTGGAATCACTTATTCCTTTTTAAGTAAAGGGTCCACCTGGTCTAAGTAAGGAGCCAAGCAATTTACCAGGTTGCAGTGAGTAATTAAAAAGTGAAGACGACACTTGGGATCCCTACTAGAAACTCAGATCAGCTCTGTGTTACAGAGGCCTCACATACCCTGATCATCAGCACAGCCTTTCTGATGTCCCGAACACCGTCATACACCAGGCGAGAGGCATCGATGAATTCATTCTCCTCAAATGGTTGAGGGACGTTGGCACTCAGGGCTTCAATGGCAACCTCGACTTGTTCAGCAAAGCGTGGCATCACTGGGATAAACAGAGAGAAAAGCAGTAGATGAGGCAATCTTCTCTCATTGCAGCCCTTGGGCAAGGTGGTAGACCTTGCCAGCCAGATGGGGTTGGTCCAATTTAGTCATCTTTGTGGCACTTACCTCTGTGTGGCAAATAAAATGTACACCATGCATGGCGATGTTTACAAAAATGAAAACTTTTATAACCCATCCAAGGTAGTGTGGTGTAGCATAGGAATATAAAGTACATGTTATGCTAACCTGAGCAGAATTCCACTTCTGGTTACCAACTGTGAAATCTTGGCCAAGTTTCCTTAGCCCTTCTCAACCTGCTTTTCTATAAAATGTAGTAAGATCTTGTGCCTGGATTCAGTGGGGATAGTGCATACAAAAGCTGGATGGAATCTAGCCCATAAGAAGTATCAATAAACATTTAACTAATATGAGAAATTATAGTCATAACCGGTAAACAGCTGGTCTTAACCCACATGGCTTCACAACAGCATGCAAATGAAATGACCCAATACATTTCATTTTTTTATTGGAAATGCAGAAATTGAGACATGGTGGTAGGAGATGGGATTGAACGGAGGCTATGAAGGATTCATAAGAAGAAAGAGGAAAAAGACAGCAGAGACCAGCAGGAAGACCCATTGAGAGAAAACCAATGGACTTAAAGGAAAATTTTCCCATTTTGCCAGGATCATTTTGATGTGAAATAAAATTTGCATATAAGTTTTTAGAATGATGACACCTCTTTCTTCTCACAGGGACACCTTCAACTCCCACTGGAGATTTGAAGAAAATAAACTTAGTGGAAAGTCTGTAATACTTCCACTGACGACTTAAAAATTGCTGCTGATTCACTGTTTCTTGAAAATTGTAATTCTATTTTCTCAGCTGTTACCTTGTAACAACCAATTAGGAAACAAAAGCCAAAAGTACGATTCATTTTATTTACAAGGACCATAAAACAGAAACATCATCCATCTATTCCTGTTTCTGAATCTTCAGGCCTCATTCCCTCTTGACACTCATTTTCATGCTCTGCGGAAACTTTATGCATCCATTTTAATACTGGTGTGAGAAATTCTGCTAAATTACTCTACTCTTTAGGGGAAGAGTGTTCAAGATAAAACATCCTAAGAAAAGTGTGTTTCTACCAAAAAAAGTCAAATGTAAAAAAAAAATAAAAACAGAGAGGGAGGGTTAGAGGAAAACAGTAACAACTCTTTTAATAAACACTATCAAAACCAAAAGCATGTATGGAGTAAATTTCCTTCTCTGTGTGAATTATTATGACGAGTTCTCTATACTATATGAATTTTGTTTTACTTGGGCTTTTGAACTATATTTAGATGGAAAAAAATTTGGAGAATATGGAACTGTACTGATACAAATATTAATCATATAAAATTGAGGTGATTGATATGCCAATTATGCTAATTTGATCACTATACAATTTATACACATATCAAAACATCACACTGTGCCTCATAAATATGTACAATTATTATGCCAATTAAAATTAAATTAAAATATTTGAAAACTATATTTCTGAAACCAATGCATTAAACTCAACTATTTTAATTATTCCTTTATGTTGTGAATAAACTTTTTCTACATGAATGAAAAATACAGATAAATGAATTTCACCTCTTTGACCATAAAATAGATTTTTTTAAAAATGTATTTGGCATTTAGGAGCGAATATTTTTCTTAAATAAATTTGCGGATTCTTTTTCTTTCTTAAACTGAAAATTCTGAGTTTTATGAATTCCATTCTATTTGATGGTTAAGCTGCTTTAATAATTATAAATTGATACACTGTCAGGTAACACTTAGAAGCATAAAACTGTTTGCCTCAATTGTATAACTAATAAGGATTAGTACTCTTATATGTACACAGGATAGATATACTTACAAATCAATAAAGAAAAAGTTGACAAAGGCAACCCTCAATTCATAGAAAGAGTCCATATACTGATATACTGTATACTAATATGTATACAATAAGATATTTTTCTTCACTAATAATTACAAATATAGTAACATAGAAAATGAGTTTTTCATACATATTGGTTCAGGCAAACAAATTATAAATGGGACCTAATTCAACTGCACATTTTGGTGAACACTTTTAAAAAAATCTAGTAAAATGAAGCTTTCCACTCCCAGATGGTGAATGAGGACATTATCTAGGGCATTGCCAAATATTAACTTCTACAGAGATGCTGATTAATCACACTGAGCAACCCTAGGCTGCAGCCACAAGAATGTCTTTGTGTCTCTTGCTTACACTCGTTCCTTGTTAGGTTATATATTCTAGTGTTATAAAGAAGAAAATTATATAAAATTTCAGAATGGTAATAATTGCTTTTCAGAGTCCTGTCAATAAGCTACAACCCAGCCTTATTCTGAATCCTCCAACTGAGGGGGAACTGTTGTGAGATGTTCACTCCAGATGCATGAGCAATAATGTCTGGGACAAAAATGAACCAAGGCATGCAAACTGCGGTTCAGCCAGTATATTAAAGTAAGTCCTAAGGTCAGCAAACTGAACAGAGATGATTATTTGTGGAAAATTTAAAAATACACAAAAGAGTCTTGTGCATACTTTAAACATATAAGCATTTGTACATGTCCTCACATGTCTTGAAAGACTATGTCACCTTACATATAGTGTTTACCTTTGAGAGGGAAATGAAGGTCATCATTTTAGTCTCTGTTCTTGTATCTTTGAATCTTTTTTATAATTCAAATATTTTAAATGAAATAAGTTATTCTCAAAGTTGTACGCTTCCTTTTAGAAGAAAGGCTCTGAAAAACAAAGTCCCTTCTGTGGTCAAAATATTATAGAAGAGCATTAAGTAAGGAAGTCCCTTAGAAATTGGAACTGTGGTAAAGTGTTTAGTATTCTACCTTCATAAATGTCATCTAGAAAATGGAGTCAGGTAGCCCCCACTGCCCAGACCCTGACCCCCATGAATATATTTCTATCCACATGGCGATCTTTCTGGAGTCTGAAGGGGCAAGAGCGGGGTTTGCTACTCCTGTTTTCCTTGTACAAGGTCACTCTGAAGAAGAAATGGGAGGCAGAAAAACAGTAGGTGACAAATTATCTTGCTCTAGCTACCTCCAGGCTTGATTCTGTGCCCAAGGGACAGGGAATATAATACCTAGGGGGACCCTTTTCATGAGAAGCTCTGAAATGCCAGATCTGGAGCAGGGCACATTCTATGTCATCGGCATGGAGCCCAGCACCTCTCAGTGACATGCTAGGGCGCAGGTAACAACTATGGTGTCAGTGACCTGGCACTGTCAGAGCAGGTAGAAATAAGCCATTTTATGAAGGTACTAGAACAGAAATATCATCAATTTTTCATGGAAAAAAAGACAAAAGGGGAAGAACATCTTTCTCTATGGTCTAGTCCTAAGTACATTCAAAGTTTATTTATTTAGGACCTTACTATTATTTAGGACATTTCTACTGCTCTTAACCTGTATAGCTTTTCTATTTTGTTCCTCTTACTCCTAGTTTAATTTTATTCTGTTTTGCTTTTGAGAGTGATAAGTCAGAAAAACAAGAGTTTATAGAACAATGATTCATCTTGGTAAAAACCTATGTATTAATTTAACTATGAATTCTCATACCACATTGGTAGTGTCTGAAAAATTACATGCCCCCCAAATAATTCTGAGATAGAATTATATATTAAGAGTTTCTGATATAGGTTTATATAAATAGAATTTTATTTCTACTTTCTGACTTGCATCCAAAAATGTGGGCAAAACTTTGTTATTGTTTATCAAAAATACTGAATTGCTCTTAATAGCTTTTATCCTGAAAAGGCGATCAAAGTTAAAAATAAACCTTTAAATTCTAGCTATACTTTTGTATGCAGACTGCACACTAGGTCACAAAATGATGGCATTCCAGGTGTAATGAAATCAGAATTAAATGTGCATATAAAAATCAAGGTCACATCATTTCAGTGTTGATGGAGATCCTAAACCATAGGTAAGGAGGTTTTGAAATGAATCCTCTAGAGAGACTTCAGAGGTGAAGTTTCAGAGCACAGGGTGAGTTAGTCAAATGAATGAGAAGTTGTGCTAAAGTGCAAGTAGGACTGCTGACAGGGAAAAATCCAAGGTTAACTAGAGGTGGTGGAGGTGAACTGCCAGCCAATCCCATTGTCTCTGAGAAACTGTCTAAAAAGCCCTTGCTCCGACTCTAAACATTCCAAGGTACTCTAAAATCTTTCATGAGATACAGACACATACAAGCATCTGGCATCTATAGTTCATCTCTCTCCTGCTTGTTTTACCTCCTATTCCTACATATACTCAAGTGTTCCAATTAGATTGAATTATGCCTGTGTCTCAAATATGACATAGACAAAACATGCCATACCAACATGCCCATAAGTAATTTATTCTCTCATATTGAAATACACTTCTCTTTGGTCAGATGGACACCTCCTCAACTTTCAGTCTTCAGTTTAGAATTAATTGCCATCTTCAATTCTTACATATCCCAAAGCATATAGTTTTCCACAATTTTATAACATCCTAATTACATGCATACATGCAGTCGCGCGTGCACACACACACACACACACAATTACAGTACTTAGTACATTAAAGTTGGTTGGCATTTCAGTATGTCAACTATTTTGCATATGAGTCACTTTTAGGCAGAGTCCACAACTTCTTCTTCCTTTACATCTTAAGTCTTTGTTATCCTTTAGGCACAGAGAATCTTACCACTGGAAGAGAAAGATGATGGGATGGAGGAAAGAATTCTTTTGTCATCAAGTTTTTCAGGGATAAAATGATGAGTGTCACATTTCACATTTTCTCTCTTTTTCTGCCCATCATTTAATCCTTTTCCTTTGTTTACAGTAGGCCAATTCACCCATTATTCTTTGAAAAGGAATTGAGAGTACAACCATATTGATTCACTACTAAAAAACAGGTCTTATGTGACATAATGAAATAAACTGAAAACAGTAC